ACTTACTTACTTACTTAGGCCATCCCTCGTTGTCTGAGTAGGATTGTCTTCCAAGATCAGTGTACTGGCAGTGGGTCCGTAGGTGACTATGGAGCCCTATTCTTGATCTGCATCTTCTCCCACAGTGAGAGCATCAGTTTCCAGGTGGAAGGCTGGCTTGATGCACCTTCCTCTTGGCACGTTTCTCTCTTTCGCCTTCCTTTGTGACTCTTCAAATTCCACAGCACTGCTGGTCACAGCTGACCTCCAGCTGGAGTGTTTAAGGGCCAGGGCTTCCCAGTTGTCAGTGTCTATGCCAGAGTTTTTAAGGTTGGCTTTGAGCCCATTTTTAAATCTCTTTTCCTGTCCTCCAATATTCTGTTTTCCGTTCTTGAGTTCGGAAGAGAGCAACTGCTTTTGGACACGGTGGTCGGGCATCCAGACAATGTGGACGGTCCAGCGGAGTTGATGGCGGAGAACCATTGCTTCAATGCTGGTGGTCTTTACTTCTTCCAGCATGCTGATATTTGTTCACCTGCCTTCCCAAGAGATTTGCAAGATTTTTCGGAGGCAACACTGATGGAATCATTCCAGGAGTTGCATGTGACGTCTGTAGACTGTCCACGTCTCGCAGGCATATAGCAGGGTTGGGAGGACAATCTATATATATATATAAATGCTTTGTGCGTAATGAGTACCTTAAAAACAAAAGAACCAATGAACGAAATCACACCAAATTTGGCAACAAAACGTCTCACAAAACAAGGAGTGACCATCACTCATTTGGGAGTTGTAGTTGCTAGGATTTATAGTTCACCTATAATCAAAAAGCATTCTGAACTCCACCAACTATGGAATTGAACCAAACTTGACACACAGAATTCCCATGACCAACAGAAAATACTGTAAGGGTTTTGGTGGGCATTGGCTTTGAGTTTTGGAGTTGTAGTACTCTTAGCTGTCTTTTTCTCCATTTTAAAGCTCCTCTCCCTTTTGTTTTGCCTTCAAAAAGGAATGGTTTTACCCCTTGCTCTCCTCTCTGTGTTGTTTCCCTTTTGTTAAATGTTAAACTGGAAGTTTCCTGGAGGCCAGAGAGCTTTCTCATTGCTCTCCTGACCCAAAGCCTCAGGCACACTCAGATGGAGTTATATACAGCTGGCCCTCCCTATCCACGGATTCCTCATCTAATAATTCAACCATCCAGAGCTTGGAATATATTTTTTAAAAAGAATTCCAAAAGAGAAATACTAATTTTATTTGTATTGTCGAAGGGTTTCATGGCCGGAATCACTCGGTTCTTGTGGTTTTTTTCGGGCTATAGGGCCATGTTCTAGAGGCATTTCTCCTGACGTTTCGCCTGCATCTATGGCAAGCATCCTCAGAGGTAGTGAGGTCCTAATCAATTAACCTCACCTCTGATGATGCTTGCCACAGATGCAGGCGAAACGTCAGGAGAAATGCCTCTAGAACATGGCCCTATAGCCCGAAAACACCCACAAGAACCGACTAATTTTATTTATTTATTTATTTATTTGCTATATTTGTATACCACCCTTCTCAGCCCTCAGACGACTCAGGGCGGTTTACAGAGGCAACAATTCGATATCCAAGATCATAAAATATTTCAAACACTAATACATAGTTCCAAGTTCCTATCTTTTTTACATTGAATTTTCAAATGCTTACTCAAACAGCCAGGTCTTGACTCTTTTCCAGACTGTTAAGAGGGAGGGGGCCAATCTAATGACCCTAGGAAGGGCGTTCCATAGCTGAGGGGCCACCAAATGGCTGATACCAAGTGAGAGACTCCCCCTGGGCACACAGAAAACTGGGCAACTTGGAAGGTGCTGAACCGACTGTGCTCTGGCACCACGAGATGTAGAGCCAACCTCAAGAAATGGGGCTACAAAGTGGAATCCACAACATGCGAGTGTGGAGAAGAGAAAATTACAGACCACTTGCTGCAATGCAACCTGAGCCCTGCTACATGCACCATGGAGGACCTTCTTATAGTAACACCAGAGGTACTCCAAGTGGCCAGCAACTGGTCAAAGGACATTTAATCAACTACCAAGCTAGCAAACTTTGTGTTTTGTCTGTCTGTCTGTTTGTTTGTTTGTTTTGTTAAAAATGTAATACACCTGTCTGGTTGCTCCTGACACAATAAATAAAAAATAAAATAAATTCCTTCATTCTTGCCAATTTTTATTTTTTAGTTATTGTGTCAGGCAATTATATTACATTTCTAACAGGACAAAGCAAACAAACAGACAAATACAAAATTTGAGTTTGGTAGTTGATTAAATGTCCTTTGACCAGTATCTGGCCACTTGGAGTGCCTCTGGTGTTGCCGCAAGAAGGTCCTCCATGGTGCATGTGGCAGGGCTCAGGTTGCGTTGCAGTAGGTGGTCTGTGGTTTGCTCTTCTCCACACTTGCATGTCAAGGATTTCACTTTGTAGTCCCATTTCTTAAGGTTGGCTCTGCATCTCGTGGTGCCAGAACGCAGTCTGTTCAGCGCCTTCCAAGTCACCCAGTCCTCTTTGTGCCCAGGGGGGAGTCTCTCATTTGGTATCAGCCATTGGTTGAGGTTCTGGGTTTGAGCCTGCCACTTTTGGACTCTCGCTTGCTGAGGTGTTCCAGCGAGTGTCTCTGTAGATCTTAGAAAACTATTTCTTGATTTAAGTCGTTGACGTGCTGGCTGATACCCAAACAAGGGATGGGCTGGAGATGTCTCTGCCTTGGTCCTTTCACTATTGGCTGCTACTTCCCGGCGGATGTCAGGTGGTGCAATACCGGCTAAGCAGTGTAATTTCTCCAGTGGTGTGGGGCGCAGGCACCCCGTGATAATGCGGCATGTCTCATTAAGAGCCACATCTACTGTTTTAGTGTGGTGAGATGTGTTCCACACTGGGCATGCATACTCAGCAGCAGAGTAGCATTGCGCAAGGGCAGATGTCTTCACTGTGTCTGGTTGTGATCCCCAGGTTGTGCCAGTCAGCTTTCGTATGATATTGTTTCTAGCACCCACTTTTTGCTTGATGTTTAGATAGAGTTGTTGTTGTGTGCTTTCAAGTCGTTTCAGACTTAGGTTGACCCTGAGCGAGGGCCGGGTAAATGACCTTGGAGGGCCGCATCCGGCCCCCGGGCCTTAGTTTGAGGACCCCTGCTCTAGACCATGGCCATACAGCCTGAAAAAACCTACACACAACCCAATTATTATTATTAATTATTAGGTTCTTGTAGGTTTTTTCGGGCTATAGGGCGATGTTCTAGGGGCATTTCTCCTGACGTTTCGCCTGCATCTATGGCAAGCATCCTCAGAGGTAGTGAGGTCTGTTGGAAATAGGAAAATGGGTTTATATATCTGTGGAATGACTGGGGTGGGGCAAAGAGCTCTCTGCTGAAGCTAGGTGTGAATGTTTCAGCTGACCACCTTCATTAGCATTTGAAGGCCTGGCTGAGCCTGGGAAATGTTCTGTTGAGAGGTGTTAAGATGTGCCTGGTTGTTTCCTCTCTGCTGTTTTGCTGTTATTAAGTTTTTTAATACTGGTAGCCAGATTTTGTTCATTTTCATGGTTTCCTCCTTTCTGTTGAAATTGTCCACATGCTTGTGGATTTCAATGGCTTCTCTGTGTAGTCTGACATGGTGGTTGTGAGAGTGGTCCAGCATTTCTGTGTTCTCAAATAATATGCTGTGTCCAGGTTGGTTCATCAGGTGCTCTGCTATGGCTGACTTCTCTGGTTGAAGTAGTCTGCAGTGCCTTTCATGTTCCTTGGTTCGTGTTTGGGCAATGCTGCGTTTGGTGGTCCCTATGTAGACTTGTCCACAGCTGCATGGTATACGGTAGACTCCTGCATGAAAATGAACAAAATCAAGGAGGTTGTTGTTGTTGTTCATTCGTTCAGTCGCTTCCGACTCTTCGTGACCTCATGGACCAGCCCACGCCAGAGCTCCCTGTCGGCCGTCACCACCCCCAGCTCCTTCAAGGTCAACCCAGTCACTTCAAGGATGCCATCCATCCATCTTGCCCTTGGTCGGCCCCTCTTCCTTTTGCCTTCCACTTTCCCCAGCATAATTGTCTTCTCTAGGCTTTGCTGTCTCCTCATGATGTGGCCAAAGTACTTCAACTTTGTCTCTAGTATCCTTCCCTCCAGTGAGCAGCCGGGCTTTATTTCCAGGAGGATGGACTGGTTGGATCTTCTCGCAGTCCAAGGCACTCTCAGCACTTTCCTCCAACACCACAGCTCAAAAGCATCGATCTTCCTTCGCTCAGCCTTCCCTAAGGTCCAGCTCTCACATCCGTAGGCTACTACAGGGAATACCATGGCTTTAACTATGCGGATCTTCATTGCCAGTGTGATGTCTCTAGTCTACACTATTTTATCGAGATTGGTCATTGCTCTCCTGTCAAGAAGTAAGCGTCTCCTGATTTCCTGGCTGCAGTCTACATCTGCATTAATCTTTGCATCTAGAAATACAAAGTCTGTCACGGCCTCCACATTTTCTCCCTCTATTTCCAGTTGTCAATCATTCTTGTTGCCATAATCTTGGTTTTTTTGATGTTTAGCTGCAACCCGGCTTTTGCGCTTTCTTCTTTCACCTTGATTAGAAGGCTCCTCAGCTCCTCCTCGCTTTTCGGCCATCAGAGTGGCCGAAACTTATTATTATTAATTATTACTAATAATTATTATTAATTATTACTAATAATTATTATTAATTATTACTAATAATTATTATTAATTATTATTATTATTATTATTATTACAGTTATTTTGGCATAGTAAAATGGCACCCCTCAAATGGCCCAATGAGAGGGTGCTTTTAGAAATTCTGTGAGTTTGATTCCTTCAGCCTTGCCAATGCCCCCAACCAAGCCAAGCCTCCATTTCCCATCCCTGCGCCCATGAAGAACATGGCTCCTGTCTGGCTTCAGTGACGTCACCCCTGGGCTCTTCCAGCATCCCCCCTCCACTGTTTCCCTCTCTCTCTCTCCCCCCTCCTCCTCCCTTGGCCCCGCCCTCCGAGGCTGTTCCAGATAAAGGGCTCCTCCTCCCGCCGGTCCCAACCTCCCCTGCGCTCTGCTGCGTCGCCCTCGCTTTTCCCCAAGCAAAGATGGAAGTCGTCAATCAGGTAAGCGGCGGAGGGTTTCAGCACCAGGGACAGCTCCCCGAGGCGCCTTGCTTGCGGATGGGGGGGGGGGGGAAGGGAGGGAGTGTTGCAGAAATCCCACTTCACCTTCATCCTTTGCCCCCCCCTCCCATAAACCCCCACTATCCTCCTCCTCCCTGCAATAATAATCCCTGCAGAGATTTATCCTGAGAGCAGCACAATGCCTCCCTCTGCTTCTCCTTGTGGGGGGGGGGGGTCAGATCTAGGGAAGGATCTGCAAACCAAATTGGTGCAGCTCTCTTATGACATTGCTGCAGTAGTTATTGGGGGGGGGGGATAGGGAGAGAAAGAGGGGTGCCTTGGATACAGAGCAAATAAATAAAAGAGATGGAGCTGGATCTTCTTCCCCTATTTAAATTATGATTTGCAAGAGGAATCTTATTTACTAAATATGGGGGGGGGGTTGAGCTGGAATATTTTGCCGCAGATTGGGTTGGAAGAGGGGGGGGGGCATGGCAAGCCAAAATGGCTGGGGCGATGCAGTAAAGCTACGCCACGGCTGGCCCGCATTTGGGGAGCCAAAGGAGGAGGGACTGACTGACAGCCTGACTGGGATGCCCATGTAAACAGATGGGCACAGGGCGGGCAATGATATCCCAACCCCGAGGCTAGTCAATAATACCCCCAGGCAGGTAGAAAATGCCGTATGGAGAAGAGCAGAGGGATCTGTAGTATGCAAGATGGATTCGTCATCATAATGCTAGCTGGGGACTGGGGAAGAAGAGGACTCATCATCATAATTAATTCTGGAAGGCGAGGATGGAAGGATCTGAATCTAAGCTGCTCATCGCAACCAAACTCATCACCATCCTTGTTGTTGAAGACATTGTGTCCTTGTATTGTCGAAGACTTTCATGGCTGGAATCAATAGGTTCTTGTGGGTTTTTTTGGGCTATAAGGCCATGTTCTAGAGGCATTTTCTCCTGACGTTTCGCCTGCATCTATGGCAATCATCCTCATACCTCTGAGTATGCTTGCCAGAGATGCAGGCGAAACATAAGGAGAAATGCCTCTAGAACATGGCTCTATAGCCCAAAAACCCACAAGAACCCATTGTTCCTTATGTTATGAGTTGTGGCAGGGCTTCCCATCCATGCATTTTCTCCTGACATTTCACCTGCATCTATGGCCAAGCATCCTCAGAGTAGTGAGGATGCTTGACCATAGATGCAGGCGAAATGTCAGAAGAAAATGCCTCTAGAACATGGCCATATAGCCCAAAAAAACCCCACAAGAACCCATTGTGTCCTTACTGTTATGAGTGTGGCAGGGGCTTCCCATCCATGTCTCAATATGGAGGGTAGAGGCACCAGATGGTGGGAGAAGGCATCAATATGGCCACAGAGGAACTTCAAGGCAAACGAAGGGATGGTGTCAGGCTTGCTTCAATGTTGTTTTGATAATAACTCTCCATAAACAAACAAACAAAGCCAAGGAAGGGATGGAGTCGAGTGGTGACATGCCATATCGGCATTGGGAGGCAAGCAAGGATGATGATGATGAGAAGGAGGAGAAGGAGGAGGAGATGATGCCTCAGGGGCGTCTTCTTGTCTCTGATCCCTGGAGCAATTGCAGCAGGATGCATTGCGGGAAGGAAGCAAAAAAAGGGGGGGAGGGATTTATGGGGTGTCACTGTGGAAGGTGGGGGTTGCTCCTCACTCCCGAAAGCAGCTGGCCCGGAGGAGGAGGAGGTGGTGGCGCAATGTCGTGTAATTTTAGCACAGAAGATGGAGCAAATGTTCCAGGAAGGTGGAAGAAAGTCCAGATGGAGCCTTCGGAAAGCGCAGAGTTGGATGCGGAGGATTGTGTGCCGGCCTTGGTGTGCCTCAGAGGAAATAGAGCCTCCGAAGAGGCCTGGAGTGACCTGAGGGCCATGAGTAAAGAGATTTAATCAGGATTTGCAAGGGAGAGAACGTCCAGAAATCTATAGAGTTGTCGCAGATGCTCTAAGATCTTTATCAAGCACCACTTGGAAGGGAAAAGGTTTGGATCCTGGGGCTGTGAAACATTTGAAGAAATGCTACGGGATTTCATTGGATTAATGTATTGTCGAAGGCTTTCATGGCTGGAATCAATAGGTTCTTGTGGGTTTTTTCGGGCTATATGGCCATGTTCTAGAGGCATTTTCTCCTGACGTTTCACCTGCATCTATGGCAAGCATCCTCAGAGGTAGTCTGGAGAAACGTCAGGAGAAAATGCTTCTAGAACATGACCATATAGCCCGAAAAAACCCACAAGAACCTATTTCATTGGATTGTCTTTTTTCCCCCCCATAACTCAGTCTTTAGGAGGTTTGCTAAGAAATAAGCCCTCTTTCCAGATTTTCTCTGTAGAATCCAGCTTCCCCTCTCTCTCCCTTTAGAAATTTTGAGAAATAACAGGATAAGGAATGGATCTGATGTGAAATTATCTTTGGGCAGTGAATGATATAGGAGCCCCCGTGGCGCAGTGGGTTAAATAAACCCCTATGCCAGCAGGAGCGAAGACTGACAGGTCGCAGGTTCAAATCCGGAGAGAGCGCAGATGAGCTCCCTCCGTCAGCTCCAGCTCCTCATGCAGGGACATGTGAGAAGCCTCCCACAAGGATGGTAAAACATCAAAACATCCAGGCATCCCCTGGGTAACGTCCTTGCAGACGACCAAATCTCTCACACCAGAAGCGACTTGCAGTTTTTCAAGTAGCTCCTGACACGACAAAAAAAAAGCGAATGATACTGGTTTCTGCAGGAAGAGGAAGAAGAAGAAGCAGCCCGGTTTGATTTTGTTTGGGTTATATTTTTGATGTTTGCACCCATTTGGATTTGTGATATTCTTTTCCATGTGGGGTTGTGTTGATAACTAACTACCTGGCCCAACCGTAGAAGCAACCAGAGCCACCAGGGAAAACTGTCTCTGCAATGTTCTTGTTTTTAGGGAGAAATACACCTAGTTGTACTTCTGAATGCATCTGTTTTTCAACAGTGAGGATGCTAAACTGTTTTGCTGATAGTATCCAGTAGTTGGGCATTTATTGATTTGTGTGAGTGTGGCATTACAACAGGAAGGGGAATACGTGCAAAGAGCTTTTGAACAAGGGAGAGCTTTCCATTCCGCTGTGTTGGGAGGAAATGATGCGTGTGTCCAGAGGATGGTTCGGATCATGCATGAAGCACGGAGGCGGTGGTGTCGCAGTGCTCATGTGTGGGTGTGCAAATGAGGGACGTATGTGTCATGACGGGAATAGTTATTCACTTTGGATTGTGAATCGGTGCAAAAACAAAGAAGGAAGTGTAGGGGAATCAAATCTTCAGTGGGTGGAAGTGATGAAGAGTTTGTGACAGGGGACGAGAAAGGGGCTGGTTGTATAAATAGGTGCAGTTTTTGGTTTTCTCTCATAGATGCATAAAGAAGGATTGTACATTTTTATACTTATATTTTGTTTTGTTAATATTATGGTTATGATGTTTTTTACTTTGTATGTTTTGTGATGTTACCTGGGAACCACTCTGAGTCCCCTCGGGGAGATGGAGCGGTATATAAATAAAGATTATTATTATTATTATTATTATTATTATTATTATTATTATTATTATTATTACACAGTGCCTTTTGCTGTTATGGATGGATACTGTGTCAGAATATGTCATAGGCAAGCCTGAAATCTTATGCACACTTGCCTTTCAGTAAACCCTATCTAACAAAACAGTGCTTATTTCCAAGTAAACGTGTGTTCTGAGCCATAAAATCCCTTGTTTCAGCCATAAATTCGCAAAATGGCAAGGAAGACACTACCCCTCAAGTCCTCATTTTGCAAAATCGGAAATAATAGAACTGCCCCTTTCTCAAAGACGTGTTGTGAGAACAGCTGAGAAAATACAGGTTTAGAGCTTCAAACAATATGGTTGGTATTGCTTGTGTATTTATAGGCAAGATGCTTTAACCTTGAGAAGAGCACAAACGTTTTGTAGTTCGTATTGGAGAAGAGAGACACAGTAGGCCCTTGGTATCCACTGAGGTTTGGCTGCAGGGCCTACGTGGATACTAAAACTCTATCAAGGCTCAAGTTCTGTTATATACACAATGGTGTAGTAAAATAGCACCCCTTTTATAAAATGGAAAAATCCAAGTTTGCTTTTTTCGAACTATTTATTTATTGATTTATAAAAATATCTTCAAGCCATTGATTCTTGGACCTGTAAATACAGAGGGCCAAACTGTATATGCATTGGATTGTTGTAGTTTTTTTCTGGGCTATATGGCCATGTTGTAGAGGCATTCTCTCCTGACGTTTTGCCTGCATCTATGGCAAGCATCCTCAGAGGTAGTGAGGTCTGTTGGAACTAGGAAAAAGGGTTTATATATTTGTGGAATGACCAGGGTGGGACAAAGGACTCTTGTCTGCTGGAGCTAGGTGTGAATGTTTCAACTGACCATCTTGATTAGCATATAATGGCCTGACAGTGCTTGTATGTGCATTGCACGTTTTTTCATTTATATATTCTAGGGCTTGTACTACCCAGAGAAGTCTCTTGTGGGGATATGTGTGATGCTTTCCTTTTTGTGGTTTTCGAGGGGCAGTACTTTTCCTTAAACTCTTTACAGCACAGTAGTAATATTCAAAAAGGTTCCCAGATGGCCTTTTCTATTGCAAGCTGCAGCTCTAAACGTGCCCTTCTTGGATCGAAGGAGCTTTTGGTGTATGGACGTAGCATATATCGCATAGTCCACAATAGCATCAGAACAGGGCTTGCATAGCATTTGTGGTCACACGGAACTAAAATGGCTTCCTTAACTGCAGTAGTGGTTAAGTGAAGAAAAGCATGTTCATCGTATTGGTTCGCTGGGCACAAGTCAGGTATGGCCAAGGCAGGGGAAAAAACCCTAAAAGGAGAAGATGGCATTCCAATATGGATTCGGATGGGTAAATGGCCAGGAGATTCAAGGGCAGAACAGGGACTCTATTGGCTTTTGTAAACACCAGTATTGGTTACCGGTCAGAACACAGCTTTTCTGTTTGGCTATCCCATTTGCAAAGGAGGATTTGGTTATGTTAGAATCTGGGGCGCAGGGTGTGTGACACAATTAGGATGCTACACATTAAGGGATTGTACTATATTCAGTGGACCTAGCATGATGTTGTGCAGGGGTGGCTCAACCCATTATGCTAAGTAAGCATTTACAGTATAGTTGATTTTGCCCAGGGGCACTCTTGAGGTGCTCTTGGGGGAAAATAGACCTTGACATATGCGAGTTGTAGTTACTGGGGTGTATAGTTCACCTACAGTCAAAGAGCATTCTGAACTCCAATGATGGAATTGAACCAGATATGGCACACAGAACTCCCACGACGAACAGAAAATATATATCAGTGATTGGTTGGGGGCAGGCCCATAGCCAGGATTTCGATTCAAGGGGGGGCTGAGTTTGTTTCGGGGGGGGGCTGAGTCTGAGTGAAAGAGGGTCTACCCTAGCAAACCTTTTGTATCGTTACCCCAATACCCCCATGCATATGGTATATATTGAGTATGGTGATCAGATCATGATATGAATAAACATAACAGTTTAAATAATGCACCAGTAAGGCCTTTTCGCGAACCACCATGAGAATTTCGGGGGGGGGCTGAAGCCCCTCAAGCCCCCCCCCCCCCCCGGCCTACATGCCTGGTTGGGGGGGAGCACCAAAATACTGTTTGCTTATCATTGAATATTACCTAGGGTCACCTCTGGTGTTGTGGCTTGCAACTATGAAGACAAGGGTTCAAGTTCCTGCTCAATCAAGAAAACATATAGGCTGACCTTGGGCAAGTCACAGACTCTTAACCTCAGAAAACCCCATGTTATGGTCACTATAGGATTGCCATAAGTCAGAATGATGGAAAAGCACACAGCAACAACCATTTTCTGACACTAATGAGAAGGACTCGGCAAATGGCTGGTGGAGGTTTGCAAGGCACAATTCTGTTGTTTATGGTGACGTTGAACCTCTTTGGTCAAGCCAGCCCCAGTGGACTCTCTTTACCCTGTGAGAGGTTCATTTTCTTCATGATGCTATGTGAGTGTAAAATGGAAAAACAGCCCTGTGATAGGAAAGTCAGAGAGATGCCCCAAAGAGAGTTTCACCTTGATCTGATGAATCCATAATTTTGGAAGGAGAGTGCATCAGGAAGATGTAATGCAGAGGAAGGCATGGAATTACATATATTGTCCATACACAAATATGTATGCCAAGGCAGGCTGAAAGAAAGGAAGGCCACTGCGGGAAGCTACAAAGACAGCCTCCTCCTTGGCTTGGTATTTTGGTCTCCCAGCAGGCTTTCATGATTTAATTACTTATTTCCGTGATCTCACGTAACACCCACTACTATGACTTGGAATAGGGCTCGAACTAGGCATCTCTTCTGTTTAGTTGTTTTCAAATGCAGCCCAACATCTCCTGTGGCTGTTTTGCTGGCTTTAATTAGGACTTGGCATTTCTTTTATTTCCACTTCTGTTAATATGTCCAATGAGCTAATATGGCGTCCATAGTTCTTTTCAATCAGCCAGACAAAATTAATGAAATAAGCCAGGAGATATTTAAATTGGACTGTGTTTGTCTCAGTTATGGATGATGATGCTCAGTCGGCCAAGACTTTAAGGATATCGGAGGTGCCAAACAGGACATATCAAATGAGTAAGGAGCTGAACCCCTACAGTTCTTTGCTCACTTCCTTGGCTGATCCAAGGAACACATTATTGTCCTTCGGTTTCTTAAATAATATAAAAGAAATAAATCCAGCCAACCTTCCATATTCTCTGGCATTAGTGGCACAGAATCCCCATGAAATTTATTTATTTATTTATTTAGAAGTTTTATATACCGGTCTTCTCACCTCCAAGGAGGGACTCAGGCCGGCTCACAACATGTGTTCATATACAGTAATATACAAAACAGCACAATGCATCATCATTATACATTAAAATATAGGTACAATAAAAATATCATCATTACATTACACAAACCAAGTCGTCAATACAGTCACAATTCATTGTCATCCTTCCATGTGGACAAGGGTTATTGACTCAATCCTCAAATGCCATATTCCAAAGCCAGGTTTTTATTCGTTTTCTAAAGATGAGGAGGGAGGGAGCAGATCTAATCTCTGGTGGGAGGGAATTCCAAAGCCGAAGAGCCACCACCGAGAAGGCCCTGTCCCTCATTCCCACCAACCGCGATTGCGAAGGTGGCCCCTCCGGAAGATCTTAGTAACCTTGATGGTTCATAGGGGAGAATCCGTTCGGACAGGTAAACTGGACCGGAGTCGTTTAGGGCTTTATAGGTCAAAGCCAGCACTTTGAATTGTGCTCAGAAGCTAATCGGCAGCCAGTGAAAGTGAAAAAACATGAAGAAACAAACTATTTATTTAAAAACTTGAGATAACAATTCTTTAGGAATTTCTCGGTCCTTCAGCATGGTGCTACGGTTGTCTTCTTGACGTTGAACACTGAATCACACTAGAGGACTAGGGATTCCTAGAAAGGTATTGTCTCTAGGAATCTCTAGGCCTTCTTGTGTGATGCCGTGGTTAACTTCTGCTGGAAGCTGACCACAGAATTGCACTTGAGGACTATGAGATCCTCTAATTAAACCCATAAGTAATCGGAGCTAAATAAGCTATACCTACAAATATGGAGGACCAATTGAAGTCCTTTCTTCTTCCAGTATGTGTGGGGTAGACCTTGAGGGTGTGTTTTCAGATCTTCAGCATGTCTGTCAAGCTGAATACCTTTCTGCCCAGAGCCCATCAGTACTCAGGTGAGGCCAGGGGCGGCTCAACCCATTACGCAAAGTAAGCATTTGCAGTATAGTTGATTTTGCCCAGCAGCACTCTTGAGGTGCTCTTGGGGGAAAATAGACCTTGACCTATGCAAGTTGTAGTTACTGGGATGTATAGTTCACACCTCCATGGATGCCAAGATCTATGGATGCTCAAGTTGTATTATATACAATGGTGTAGTCAATACTATCCCTTCAAAATCAAGGTTTGGGTTTTTTCTTAATATTTCATGCCATTGATGGATGAATCCTTGGATGGAGAGTCCATGGACACAGAGGGCCTGCTGTAAACTGGGGCCAGTTCATTCAAGGAGAGGGACAGATGGGAGGCAAGGTGTAGCTACCATCCTCATCTTCCTTTCCAGAAAACCCAAGAGTGGGCTGGGCTTTCTTGGAAATGAGGTTGAGGAATGGGCACAGCCAAGTGAAAGAGTAGATGCTACTATTAGTCTCAGGTCTGAACACATGTCTCCTTAGCGGACTTCAAAGCCTGGGTTCTGATAGAGCAGAGGTTCTCAACCTTCCTAATGCCGTGACCCCTTAATACAGTTCCTCATGTTGTGGTGACACCCAACCACAACATTATGTTCGTTGTTACTTCATAACTGTAATTTTGCTACTGTTATGAATCGTAATGTAAATATCTGATATGCAAGATGTATTTTCATTCACTGGACCAAATTTGGCACAAATACCCGATACGTCCAAAATTGAATACTGATGGGGTTGGCGGGGGGGGGGGGGGGGGTTGATTTTTTTCCTTTGGGAGTTGCAGTTGCTGGGATTTATAGTTCATCTACAATCAAAGAGCATTCTGAACTCCACCAACAATGGAATTGAACCAAACTTGGCACACAGAACTCCCATGACCAACAGAAAATACTGGAAGGTTTGGTGGGCATTGACCTTGAATTTTGGAGTTTGTAGTTCACCTACATCCAGAGAGCACTGTGGACTCAAACAATGATGGATCTGGACCAAGCTTGGCATAAATACTCAATATGCCCACATGTGAACACTGGTGGAGATTAAAGAAAATAGTCATTTGGGAGTTGTAATTGCTGGGATTTATAGTTCACCTACAATCAAAGAGCATTCTGAACCCCACCAATGATAGAATAAGGCCAAACTTCCTACACAGAACCTCCGTGACCATCAGAAAATAGTGTTTTCTGATTGTCTTTGGTGACCCCTCTGACACCCCCTCATGACCCCCACGTTGAGAAACACCGTGATAGAGGATCACCAATTATGGACCTTAAATTATGAATTCTGTTGTGTTGTAGCATCACAGTTTTTGAAATAACTTTTGGACTGCAAAATCTATTATCCCTCAGTCAACATGACCTATGTAGAGGATTCTGGGCTAAATAGTTTCCCCCAAAAGAAAATGTCCAGGTGCTAGAAGAGAAGGGAGTGGACCAGACTAGTCTGATTCGAGCCAAAGTAGTACCTTTTCTACATTAACTTCAGGGATTTGTCAACCAAATCTTTCTTTTCTCTCCACAGCTCGTAGCCGTTGGGCAGTTCCGCGTCTTCAAGGAGCCTCTGGGCTTTGTGAAGTTGCTAGAATGGGTGAGTCCAAGATCCTCTGCTCTGTCCAGGCCAAAGAGAGGCACAGAAACAAATCATTCACACTTGCAATTTCCATTTAAAGTGGCTAAATGAGAAAGAAGACAGGGCTCCTATTAATTGACTTCTTTTTGTCCAGTGTCTCCATTACTCTCAAAGAGGATCATGTAGCTTTCCTTCTCTTCACTTTACCCCTTTGTGGTTGTATGGCTGATGAGACATATTGCAATTGATTGAAGGTCACCAGTAAACTTTATGGGTCTGCGGAGATGAGTATCTTAATTCTGAAATCCGAGATCTTCTACTCTGCTGTATAACTCTTCAAAATTTAGGAGCCCTCTCTAATTTTGATTCTGGCCACTCTAGTCCTGCTCTCTATCACTATAAATATTCTGTTCAATGTAGGCATTACCTTGGTTAGAAGAGTTTCCAAATTGGCAAGTTTTATGTATTTATTTACTATATTTCTACACTGCCCTTCTCAGCCCAAGGGCGACTCGGAGCGGTTTACAAAACGGCACGATTTGATGCCACAATAATATAAAAACAGTTAAAAGTATATAAAATACATAAAATTCCATAACGTAAGTTTAATAAAAACATAAATCCTCCGCATCTCATTACCAAAATCATTATCCAATTGTAATTGTCCAGCCTTTCTGTGGTCAAGGAAAAAAAATAAATTATCTGCTACACTGCATTTGAGAAAGCCTTCTCACAAAGCCAAGTTTTGACTTTTTTACGAAATGTTAAGAGGGTGGGAGCCGATCTAATGTCCCTAGGGAGGGTGTTCCACAGCTGAGGGGCCACCGCTGAGAAGGCCCTGTCTTTCGTCCCTGTCAACTGAGCCTGTGAAGAAGGTGGGACCAAGAGCAGGGCCTCCCCAGAAGATCTTAAATTCCTGGATGGTTCATAAGGAGCCCCCAGTGGTGCAGTGGGTTAAACCCCTGTGTCGGCAGGACTGAAGACCGACAGGTTGCAGGTTCGAATCCGAGGAGAGCATGGATGAGCTCCTTCTATCAGCTCCAGCTCCCCATTGCGGGGACATGAGAGAAGCCTCCCTTCCTTACTTAGGCGATCCCTCGTTTTCTGAGGAGGATTGTCTTCCAATATTCTTGTGGGTGCGTATGTGGCTGTGGAGTCCTATTCTTGCTCTGCATCTTCTTCCGCAGTGAGGGCATTGGCTTCCAGGTGGAAGGCGGTCTCGGTCGGGGTTGGCTTGATGCGCCTTCCTCTTGGCACGCTTCTCCCTTTCGCCCTCCATTCGTGCCTCTTCAAATTCTGCAGCACTGCTGGTCACAGTTGACTTCCAGCTGGAGCGGTCAAGGGCCAGGGCTTCCCAGTTCTCAGTGTCTATGCCAGAGTTTTTAAGGTTGGCTTTGAGCCCATCTTTAAATCTCTTTAAAACATCAAAACATCCGGGTGTCCCCTGGGCAACGTCTTTGCAGACGGCCAATTCTCTCACACCAGAAGCGACTTGCAGTTTCTCAAGTCACTCCTGACACGACAAAAAATAAAATAAAAATAAGGAGAGATATGTTCAGACAGATAAGCAGGGTCAGAACTGTTTGGCAATTTATGGTGGCAGTACTCCTGAAGATCCATTACTCACATCATACCACCCTGCCTTCAGCTGGTATCTGCTTATAGCTCTGCCTTCAAAACACCAGATTGTAGAATTAATGCAGTTTGAAATCACTTTTCACTATCATGTCTTGATGCTGTCGAATCAAGAGTGTTGTAGTTTTACAAGATCCTTTAACCTTATCCACCAAAAAGGGCTGGTGTCTCACCAAACTACAACATCCATGACTGCTTAGCATTGAGCCATAGCAGTTAAAGAGGTATTGATTCTACAGTTTTCCCTTGAATCTCAGCATTAGTACAGCGTCCAGCTTTTAAAGCAGCCCCTGTGCTTGTAATCAAAAGCTTCAATTGTAGGCAACAGCCCTAAAAAGCTTCCCCAAATGATTTCTACAGGTCAACACATCATCGAAAATACAGAACCAACTTGTTATTTTTCTCATCATCTGGAACAGTGACTGTGACCATGACAACCTGGAGGGAGCCGTGGAAAATAAAAAGAGAAAAACACATCATAATTGGGATGCTATGTTGCCCCGAAAGGCTTTTATATTTGTAAGAGTGATGCCTGTGTGCCTCAAGCAGAGAAGCTAGGACCTGAATGGAAATCATGGCTGGACAAAGACATTTGTAATCCATGAAACAAATAATAAGTTCTTCATACACAACATTGGAATAGGCAGTTGGCTCTCACTTAAACACAGGGATCATGTCCTCCAAAACATCTGGGGCAGGGGGAGCAAACCAGTTTAGGGAGGCTTGGGATAGTCAGTATTACACTGTTACACAGCTTTGACATCCAACAAAAGAAAGCAGGCTTTGAAAACAACATTGCTGACTCCTTTTGCCCACCTGCCTGCATCTGGCACCTGAAGCAAACGCCTCACTCTTCCTCATGACAAAATGCATCAAAATAATGCAAACCCAAATAACTTAAGAYCATTTACAACAGCAAGCCATTATTACAATAACGTTTCTCAGTAACTGTTCACAAGATCACCACATACCGTATATTCTGGCGTATAAGACTACTTTTTAACCCAAGAAAATCTTCTCAAAAGTCAGGGGTCGTCTTATACGCRGAAGTCGTCTTATACGTGGGAGTAGTTGTAGACATGRGRGTCATCTTATATGCTGGAGTAGCCTTAGGCATGGGAATCGTCTTATATGCGGGAGTAGTCCTATACGCCRGGAGTCGTCTTATAAAGCGGGTGCTGAAACTTMCAATCCGGATTGGAGAATCTGTGGTTGCTGAATATTGTGGGGGGAGCTCAAAAATAGCAGTAGCCATGTCCCTGCCATATGCAGCGACTGTATGAAAGCATTAAGGGCGACGCTGTACAAGTATGGTAGAAGAAATTCGTGGACTTAATGCGGTCCAGATGGTGAGGTGAATGGGTGCCTCACTGGGAAGGTGTAAGTGAAGGGTGGAGCAAGCTGCAGGCATCCGGGGCACCCAGGGTATGGAAAAAAGAGATAGAGTGGCTCTGGGCCAAGAAAAACACAACTCTTTTACCTGTCTAGCCCGCCCTTGTGTACTATTACCGTACCTCCTCCTCTGCCTCTCAGATCTCGCTCCTGAAGACTGCAGTGAAGCGGTGCAGGTGCGCATGTGTGAGATCTGAGAGGCAGAGAAGGAGGTACAGTAATAGGAAAATCACCATATTGAAATAAAATCTAATGCTTTTAAAAAATTTATTTGGTGTGTGTTGGAAAAGGCGTAGTCTTATACGACTATCATATTCCAAACTCTATATTTTAACTGGAAAAGTTGGGGGTCATCTTATACGCCCAGTCGTCTTATATACCTTGGGAAGTCTGACTTGGCCACGGTAGTCCACGCTCTGGTTACATCCCGTATAGATTACTGCAGCGCTCTCTATGTCTCTATGTGAAGTTGCCTTTGAAGACTGCTCGGAAGCTTCAAATGGTCCAATGCTCGGCAGCCAGGATGCTAACAGGAGTGGCACTCAGGGAGCATACAACTCCTCTGTTGCACCAGCTCCACTGGCTGCCAGTTTGCTACCGGACACAATTCAAAGTGCTGGCTTTAGCCTCTAAAGCCCTAAACGGTTCTGGCCCTACTTACTTCTCCAAATGCATCTCCTCCTATGAACCAACTAGGACATTAAGATCATCTGGGGAGGCCCTGCTCTCTGTCCCGCCTGCATCACAGGCACTCCTGGCGGGAACGAGAGACAGGGCCTTCTCAGTGGTGGCCCCTCAGCTGTGGAACGCCCTTCCTACAGATATCAGATTGGCCTCCTCCCTATTGGCGTTTCGGAGGAGAGTGAAGACCTGGTTGATTGAACAGGCATTCAATTAAGCAGTGTAATGAATATAGGAACGGAATAACGGATGATGAGACTGGATTCTGATTCTCCTGATGAGACGCTAATGATCTGTTATATTGATGTTTAATTGTTTATGATGATACTGTTTTAACTGTTCCTTAATTGTTTTATGATGTTTAGCATTGAATTTTGCTGTTGTTAACTGCTTTGAGTCGCCTGAGGGCTGAGAAAAGCAGTATATAAATGAAGTAAATAAATAAATATGCCGGAATATATGGGTATGTCACAATGGCCCTCTTCAACACAATCAATGCATCTCCACTAGATAATGGATGCAGGTGGACACTGCTTGCTATGGAACCATGGGAGTTGTAGTTTTGTAATAATAATAATAATAATAATAATAATAATAATAATAATACTTTATTTGTACCCCGCTACCATCTCCCCAAGGGACTCGGTGTGGCTTACATGAGGCCGAGCCCACAATACAACAATAAAAACAATAGCAACAGTAATACAAACAATAAATAAAACTCATAAACAGAAAATAGCAATAAACATTAACAATACCACAATGACATTTAAAAACCTATGGCAGGGCCAAATGTACTAATTAAAAATTTAATGCTGGCCGTGACCAGGTGACTTATAAACAGGATATAAATTTTGGAGAGAGATAGAGAAAGGGATAGACATTTTGCAAGGCATTGAATCTTCTCTGCCAAAGAATGCTGGCTCCTCACCAAACTTCAATTTCCAGGATTCTACTGCATTGAGCCATGGTATCCCAACTGCATTTGTTCTACAATAGAGATGTATCATCAGAGGCATGAAGAAGGGTTCATTTTCCACCCAATCTATCTACTTCTGTCTCTTTCCTAATGGGAAACAATGTTTTCAACTCATCCAGGAACCAAAACAAATGTAGCATTCCCTAATCTTGTGGAGAGCATCTATATGGAGAGGGAAATCCTCTATTCAGATTTGGTGGTCTCCATATGAAAAAAATGAAAGAACTAGAGTTGAATGTGAGCAGGGGCGGCTCACCCATTACGCAAAGTAAGCATTTGCAGTATAGTTGATTTTGCCCAGGGGCGTTCTTGAGGCACTCTTGGGGGAAAA